GAGGCACTGGCTGCAAACGCAAGAGGTGATTTATTGATACACAGGCGCCTGCGGGTGCCCAGCGAAACCTCAGCCGGAGCTTCGGTGAACTGGCACACCGGGCTTTGGGGTACAGGATTTTTTATAGGGTCAAGGAGCAGGTTTCGCGCGCGCGGTAAGCAACAGGTTTCTTATTGGTTATTTTGAACCCAACATACAGGTTACCTAAAGGGTAAAGTTATTTTTCATTTTATGTTCCTGGAATTACACCATATGACAGTTACATATGAACACTCTGTTTTTTTTCTATTCCTGCTTATTAGCCCCTGTTTAGTCAGGCATGCCCTGGAATCTATTCTTCTGCTCTTTCCCAACCATCCTGTTTTTCCCTTTTAATCGGTTTCACTTAACTGATTTTCTGAAAAATACATCTGACGTCTGTGCAGGTGCGGAAGCAAGCCCTGGTGATTTATTACTGGGCCTAAAGTTATTGGGCTGGGGTCTTTCAGTTTAACATAAACATTTTTGTCTCTTGCTCTCTTACCTGCTCAGAATATCTCATCAAATGTCATTCAAAGATCTCTACAATTTTTACCTCTAGTTCTGTCCCTCCCCTCAACTCTGGGAACGCTCTTTCCTGGATCTTTGCTCACATTTCTCATTCTGAGGATCTTAGCACATACTGCTCCCTTCCTTATTTATTTATTTATTTATTTTGGGGGGGTGCTGGGCATGGAACCCAGGACCTCCTGAAGGCATGCTAAGCATGTGCTCTACCACTGAGCTACATTCCCAGTGCCCCACATGTGCTCCCACTTTAATGAGGCCTTTCCTGACTCGTCAGTCACTATCAGATTTCTTCATCCTATTTTTTCTAGAGTTTGTGTTACTGTCTGAAACTGTCTCATTTATTTGCTCAGGATCTGTTGTCCCACTACAATATGAGCTCTGAGAGGAGAGGGACCAAATCTACCTTGTTCACTGCTGTATCCCTGCAGTGTGGTGCCTGGTACCTAGTAGGTGCTCATTAGCCATTTATTGAGTGAATGAGTGTACAAAGGAATTAATTAGAACTTATCAACCCAACTTTGGCAACACCTATGCTAGAGTGCCCTCAAGACCCCTAGTTCTTGGCTGCTTTTCCACATCTATTAGGTCACCTGTGTCCTTCCCTATTTTTCTTTTTTTTTGTATGTGTGGTGCTCAGGATTGAACCCAGGGGCTCAGAAATGCTAGGTAATGCTCTGCCACTGAGCTACATCCCAAGCCCACCTCTTTCCTCTCTCTTTTTTTTAAATATTTTTGTTTATTTATTTTTTTTAGTATTCGGCAGACACAACAACTTTGTTTGTATGTGGTGCTGAGGATCGAACCTGGGCCGCACGCATACCAGGCGAGCTCGCTACCGCTTGAGCCATATCCCCAGCCCTCCTCTCTGTTTTTTTTAATATTTTTTTTTTTTTTTTTAGTTTTTGGTGGACACAACATCTTTATTTTATTTTTATGTGGTGCTGAGGATCGAACCCAGCACCCTGCACATGCCAGGCGAGTGTGCTACCGCTTGAGCCACATCCCCAGCTCCCTCTTTCCTCTCTTAAAGGCTAGAAATCCTGCCAGTGGCCTCAACTCTGCCCTTACTCATTTTGTTACTTTTCCCAGGGAATTCAACATCGGTTAAGGAGTAGTATCAACACTGTGAGGATCCATGCACCCCAGATTGGAGGTGAGAGTCTTGTAATGCCATAGGAAATATGATGGTAGTGTTGAGGGAAGTCGATCCTTTAAGGACAGATGCAAGTGGGAGGTCCAGATTTTAGCTCAGACTCTGCCTGAGTTCTTCCAATGGAGGTGACATTTCCAAACAATTAAACATGGAAGAGCAAGAATGTAGATTCCAGAGTTTAAATATAGCCCCCATGTCTTCCCTGTTTTGTGGCCTTGGGCTAGTAGCATGCCTTTCTGAACCTCATCTATAATAGGGTGATGATGATTACATTAACCACCTTATCAGTAGTTTTGTAATTTACTGATTTACTTGGTACTAAGTGCTGGTTGCTATGCTAAACAAACCCTTAAATAATATTAACTAATTTAAAATTAACAATGTCAACTAACAGTATCTCATATAGGTCCTGAAACACAATAATCCCTCAAACATATTAACTACAAGTATCCAAAATGCTTGAGACTAGAAGTATTTTGGATTTCAGAGTTTTTTCAGATTTTAGAATATTTGCATATGCCTAATGAGATATCTTAAGAATGGACCCAAATATAAATAGGAATTTAATTTGTGCTTTATATATTACCTTATATAGATAGGCCAAAAGTAACTTTACACATATAACTATATATATATATGTGTATGTATATATATATATATATATTTTTTTTTTTTTTTTTTCTTTTTTGTGCAGTGCTAAGGATCAAACCAAGGCCTAGGTCATTCTAGGCAAGTACTCTACCACTGAGCTACATCCCCAGTCCTATAGACTTACTTTTTAAGAGATGAGGTCTTGGAACTGGGGAATCTACTTCAGTGGTACAGTGCTTGCCAAGCACGTACAGGGCCCTGGGTTTGATTCTCAGCAACACACACACCCACACCCTAAAAGGTGGAGTCTCACTGTGTTGTCCAGGCTGGTCTCAAACTTATTTATTTTTTTAGTTGTTGATGGACCTTTACTTCATTAATTTTTTTGTGGTGCTGAGAATCGAACCCAGTGCCTCACATATGCTAGGCAATCAGTCCACCACCAAGCCACAACCCTAGCCCTGGTCTCAAATTCTTTTTTTTTAATATTTATTTTTTAGTTGACACAACACCTTTATTTCACTTGTTTATTTTTGTATGTGGTGCTGAGGATCAAACCCAGGGTCTCGACCGTTCGAGGCAAGCGCTCTACCACTAAGCCACAACCCCAGCTCCCCTGGTCTCAAATTCTTGAGCTCAAGTAATACACCTGCCCTATCCTCCTGAGTACCTAGGACTACAGGTGCTTACCACCACACCCTGCTAATTTTTGTAGTAGTTTTAGTTCATCTGCATTTTGATTGTGACCCATCATGTGATGGCAAATGTGGAATTTTCCACTCGTGGTGTTATGTCCATACTCAAAAAGCTTTGGATTGGGAGCATTTTATATTTCTGGATTAGAGATGTTTAACCTATATATACTTTTCTTCCCTGGTGATAGTGCTGGAAATTGAATCCAGGGCCTCATGCACGCTGTTTAAGCTCTCCACCACTGAAATCTAATGAGTTCTAGCTAGTTTTTAAAAATTTTATTTTCAGGGGCTGGGGATGTGACTCAAGCGGTAACGCGCTCGCCTGGCATGCGCGGGGCGCTGGGTTCAATCCTCAGCATCACATAAAAATAAAATAAAGATGTTGTGTCCACCGAAAACTGAAAAATAATATATATATATATATATATATATATATATATATATATATATATATATATATATATTTATTTATTTTCAGATAAAGTCTTGCTAAATTGCCCAAGCTGACCTTTTAACTGGTGATCCTCCTGTCTCCACCTCCCAAGTTGCTGAGATTACAGGTGTGCACCACCATACCCAGGTGTATATTATGTTATTAACTGACTTTCCTGACCTGTTTCTTTCTCCCTGAAATCCAGCTGTCTGTAGTGATTAAACGATCAAAGTTGTGCTGGGCATGGTGATGTATGCCAGTGGTGCAGTAGTGGTGCAGTAATTCCAATAATTTGGGAGGCTGAGGCAGGAGGATCACACATTCAAGGCTAGCCTCAGCAATTTAGCAAGGCCCTAAGCATCTTAGCAAGACCCTGTCTTAAAAAATAAAAAGGGCTGGGGATGTGGCTCCCTGGTGCCAAAATAAAATTGAAGTTGCCTATTAAAAGCCATATAAAAGATGAATATGCTTGTAACGTTTGTCACCTCCTTATAAAGGTGAAGGGAATATCAATTGTTAGCATAATTGCAGCCATCTTCCTTTTCCCCACCCCCACTTTATGAATACTGTTCTTATTCCCAAGAATACAAAGTAGCCCAATATAAAACCTGTTAGCCTGGAGACCTGCTGGTCTCTCCCTCTTCTCTCACTGAGAGATAGGAGACAACTTACCGGCCCCTGAGATGGGGACGTACTGGTTTCCCTGTTCTCTCCTTGAGAAGATAAAGGTACATGCCGGTTTCCCTGTTTGCCCTCTGAGAGATAGGAAAACTGCCTGTCTCTGTTCCCAAGAAACAAACTCGCCTTCCACAAGATGAGGGGATACTTACTATGTCAGTCCAGACTAAACCTGCCCCTAGCACGAGGCCATGATTCTAGCCTATAAAAGGTAACATTCAAGGGGTTGTTGTGCTGCTCTCCCTAGCTTGCTGCTGCTGTCCCTGTCTTTGTGCAGAGCAGGCTTGTCAGGCTCCTGACAATAAACTAGCGTCTTATCCCAGGTGTGTGTGATCAATCCTGTGCCACTTTTCTTTCATCAATGACAATTAAAGATGGCTTGAAGTGGAAGTTACAAAGGATGTGAACAGACATAATATTTCAGGGGAGTTTGCTCTCCTTCCTTTATATCAGATTTTCTCCCATTCTTTTTTTGTAGTGCAGAAGTTAGAACCCAGGCCTCACTCATGCTAAGCAAGCACTATACAACTGAGCTACACCCCTAGACTCCTTTTTCCCAATTTTGACCAGAGAATTCAAGCCTTAGAACTCCCCAAACCTCAGGATATGGTTTTTGGGATTTCCCAGATACACTAATTAAGCTTCTGTCCCCATACAGGTAGCTTTGCAGTGTGGGGGTTCCTGTTCTCAACCGTGGACTGTGGCCTGGTGCAGCTGCGAGGCAGGGAGGATCCCTGGAACTCCATCACTAGTGGTGCAGTGACTGGGGCTGTGCTGGCTGCCCGCAGTGAGTGCCCCCTCATCCCTGACCCTTGAGCCTCCCACACTGTTCTGCCTGCCCTCACTTTTTTCTTTCTTCACCCCTCAGGTGGACCATTGGCAATGGTGGGCTCAGTGATGATGGGGGGCATTCTATTAGCCCTCGTTGAGGGTGTTAGCATCCTCCTCACTCGATTTACCTCCCGACAATTCCGCAATGGTGAGTACCTAATGACGATTGTCAGGGAGAGAGGCAGAAAATGCTCTACCTGTACTCCTCCAATCATCCTAACATCATTCTCCCTTCTCTAGTACCCCCATTGCTAGAGGACCCCAGCCAGCTCTCCCCTAAGGAGGATACCCCAGACACAGACTTTCCCAGCTGTCAGCAATATCATTGAGGAAGCCGCCACCTGACACCACCACTATGGGAGCTGCTCCTCGGTTCTCTCACCTCTAAGGGAGGGCTGACTTTCAGTTAGCCCTGGACTCTCCAGAGAGGGCCTTTATTCTGCTCCCTTGTCCCAGGTTGGGGGTGGGGCATCCCAGTGGCCTTGACAGACGGATTCCCTTTTTCTCTCTCAGGGCACCCTAGTCCCACATTCACATGTAATAAGTTCTCATCCCAGCTTCTTCGTGTTGCACCATGATGAGTTTTTTAAAGCCAGTTTTGAAATGCCTGTTTATGCACTCCCAGGACCTCCCTCTCAGGACAAGGGCAGAGCCCTTTTCATGACTCAGAAGCCCTAGGACTTAGAGTCCCACCATGAATGGGCTATAATAAACATTTATGGGATGAATGAGCAGGAAGGGAGAAGTGCATGAAGATAAGAATTGGGTACATGCATAAGGGTGTGCAGGAGCCAAACAATGAATGAGCAGACAGGAACATGTTTGAAAAGAAGTGCACGAACACAGGGATTGTTGGGGGTGCACATGTTTGTGCATGTTGTACCCCTGACACTGTACACATACACATACTGCTATCCTGACCCCTCCTCCATAAGCTCCCATGGCCAAGGCTGGGAAATTGACCTTACAAGAAGCCCTTTTTTTCTAGATACCAGTCACCCCATTTTCAAAAATTATCCCCATCCAATGTGGTCTCACTGTGGCCCTAGAATGGAAGTTGGTGTCAGGGAGATATGGTTTCTTCAAAAAAAGGTCTCCCGTGTCAGTCTCCCTTTCTATCACAGGGATACTTTTCTACAGAGTAGATCATGCAGTGTTGTCAGTTGTTTGGATCACTGTCTTAGCCCACCTTAGCCTCCAGAGTAGCTAGGATTACAGGTGTGCCTCACCATGATTGGCTTAGTTGTTTGTTTGTTCAGGCCAACCATAAAAGAACTAGAAATTAATTTTCATTTCAGGATAGGACATGAATGGGGAAGATATTTTTTTGGATGGACATCACACCCACGTGATGTCACTTATATGTAAATCCTATGTGGCTGAGGCAGACACTCTCCATTGGGGTGCAAATGCCACAGGGAGGCACAAAAGCTTCCTGAGAAATCAAGGGTTTCCTTTACACAAACAGCTCCAGTACACATGACCTCATGGGAGACAAAACCTGTTCCTATCTGCAAGCCATTGCAACTTGATGGAAATGCCCTTTCCCTGGTACAATATTGGTTCATAGGGATGCAAAGGTGACAGAGCCACTATGCCTCCTGCTTGAATGATAGTGCCAGGTAGTGCATGACCACCCCACCAAGGGCCTGAGAAAAGCAGGGCAAGGTGGGGTTAGTGTGCACCAGGAACATGGCTGGAGCCTTGGGGTATGACCCCTAACCATTGGTGCCACAGGCACTTAGAGCAGCAGTGCCTTCTGGACCCCTTCTGCACTCCTAGGCCTCATCCCACTCAGGATTATTCCAGTGGCCTTTTTGGTCTAGTCTGCTGGTTACTTCCAGCCCTCACCTTGCTTACTACCTCTGCCAGGCCTTTCTTTTCCATGAGTCCACCGGCCTTACTCCTTGCCCATCTTTCCATGCTGCCCTCTAAGGCAAATGCAGAACCTACCGCCTCTACACAATCCTACACTATCTCCCTGGTCCCCTTTAAATGGGCCCTGGCCCTACAAACCCCTTACTATCTGCAGGTTCCCCATCCTCTGTAGCCTCTAAATTCTACCTCATCCAACTTTAAGGTCCCATCCCTTAAGGCACTTCCAAATGCTATGGCACTCAGCCCTCCTCTCGTGCCTGGGAATCCATTCAAGTTCATCACTGGGGGGCAACTGGACCAATGCAGTCTGGGCCCCTGTAGGTGGCTCGCCTGCTCACCAAGTAACATTCAGGGCCCCTTCCTACAGTAGTTCCTCCAGCCTCTAGTTGGGATAGGGTAGGCTGATGCCAGATTTAAAATATGAAGGAGAGGGGTTAGAAAGTGAGGCTTAGAAAATAAAGAATCTGCACCCTGGGTAATTTGTACTGCTAAAGTTTTAATAAACTTGAAATGAGAAGGAGGGAAAGAAAGAGTTGTAGGGCAGCTTCAGATTATGGTGCATGTGTCAGCTTCCTAAGAGAAATATAGGGTCAGATTCAGGGAGGGACTGAGATGGAGAGAAGGTAAAAGAGACAACAGAGTTGAGAGATGAGAAGTAGAAACAAAGAGATGCACATAGGGAGATACAGAGGTGGAGGCAGAAAGAGACATGCAAGAGATAAATGAAAAAAAGAGGGAGAGAGCAGGGCATGATGACACATGCCTTTAATCCTAGCAGCTTGGGAGACTGAGGTAGGAGGATCATGAGTTCAAAACCAGCCTCCACAACTTAGCAAGGCCCTAAGCAACTCAGTGAGACCCTGTCTCTAAATAAAATACAAAATAGGGCTGGGGGGTGGCTGGGGTCATGGCTCAGTGGTAGTGTGCATATCTAGCATGTGTGAGACACTGGGTTCGATTTTCAGCACCACATAAATAAATAAATAAAATAAAGGTCCATCAACAACTAAAAAATATTAAAAAAAAAAAAAACATAGGGCTGGGGATGTGGCTCAGTGGTTGAATGTCCCTGAGTTCAATATCTGGCACAAAAAAAAAAAGGAGAAAGAATAAAGACAGAGGAGTAGAGGAGTAACAGGAATCTCTGTAAGGGTCAGAAATGCAGCAGGGAGGAGACAGTATATGCAGCGCCAAATGCAGGAGAGCAAGCAAGGTGTGAGTGGTTCCCAAGGTGGCAGCATGGAGGTACCTCCTGTACTGAGAGTCTGGACCCACAGCAAATGGTCAGGCCAGCCTGCCTCAGGCCTCTGGCCCTTTACCTTCTAACTGGGGTCCTTAAGGAAACACACAAGTGCTTCACCTGCATTCTCTTTCTCAAATACACCCCTACTGTGCTGGGAATGGAACCCATAGGCCCTCTCAGGCTAATTGCTGGCTCTACCACTAGGCTACACCCCCAGCCCTTCATCTCTGATTTATTCCTATTTACTAACATCTACATCCACCAAGGATTTCAGTGGCCCTCCTTCAGGTTTTTCCAGTCTCTTCCACACTTCCTCCCTGCCTCACTCCCATCTTTGTCTCCATCTATCTTGATTTGTCACTCAGCTCTTCTACCCCATTCTTCTGCTTTGATCTCCCTGGCTGATGGTTCTCACACTCCCTATAGCCCCTGGAATTGCCATCCACATATGTGCATGGGGAAAAGGGAAAATACTGGGTGGGCAAGGTGTTCTAAAGAGATGGGCTTAATCAAGGAAGAGGAAGAGGGTCTAAACCCTGACAGTAGGGTCACCCTATCCACTTGATCAAGAAGAGATCCTGAGTCATGTACAACTAATTAGAATAAATTTAAAAAATAAAATAAAAAGGAAGTGATCCTGAGAGGCTAGGGAGAAAGACAGACATGGGAAATTAAAGACAGGTAATAGAGAGACACACAGGAAGAATCAGAAGAATAGGGAGAAAGATACCAACAGAAAAAAAGGTGGGTGCAATGGTGAACACCATGGTATGTGCCTGTAATCCTAGATACTGGGAAGGTAAGGGAGGAGGATCTCTTGAACCCAGGAGTTCAAGGCCAGCCTGGGGAACATAGGGGCACCAGAGGTTACAGAGAAATCAAAGGAGAGACAGATGCAGAGTGATACCTGGAGACATAAGAAGTGGTACAACAAGCAAAAAAAGGAAAAAGATTAATAGAAAGGAGATGGAGATAGTTGAGACAAAAGTTGAAAACAAAAATGAAAACAGATGGGCAGAGAAAGTGTGACAAGATGGAGATGGTAAGAAAGAGTGCCATGGGTTCAATCTCCAATAAAAAAAAAAAAAATGGGCTGAGGTCGTTGCTCAGTGGTAGAGCATTTGCCTAGCACATGTGAGGCATTGGGTTGATCCTCAGCACCACATAAAAATAAATGAATAAATAAATGTATTGCTTCTTTCTACCACCAAAAAAAAAATTTTAAGAAAAAGAACATGTACCAATGTTAACCAAAGATAGAACAGAATGCTTATATTATAAACAGCTTTATTCATAATCACCCCAAGCTGGAAACCAATCAAAAGCACATCCACCCCCAAGAGTGGATGATAAAGTGTGGCATATTCATATTGTTGGGGGAGGGTCTTCATGGATTGCTCAGGTTTATGTGTAGTCCTGGCCTGAGCCAAGGGCATGTTTGAACAGTAAATTAAAGAATATATAACTCCAGAAAGATTGAGACAGTTCAGGGTAACCTAGAAATGCTACCCTCACCTCCAACTAAGAGATTGCTGACATTCCATGATAATGAGGAATCTGATGGAGAGGAGCTCAGGCAAGTATGTCAATAGCTTCTGAACATCTTCAAGTCTCCTCATTTTAGGTTCTTCTCCCATGCTGCTATCAGGCACCCACAGGAAACATCCAGCCCTGTACAAATTGGGGCATGAAATATCAACGCACAATGTTAGTTCCTCTGGTTGCTGGTTTGGGGTATAATAAGTAATAAATGGTCTGTTTTTCTGATTCACGGGTTTTGTGTTTTTATTTTTGTTTTTATACTGGAGATTGAACCCAGAGCCACTTTATCACTGAACCACATCACCAGGAGTTTTTATTTTTTGAGACAGGGCCAACATAAGTTGCTTCGGGCCTTACTAAGCTGCTGAGGCTGGCCTCGAACTTGTGATCCTCCTTCCTCAGCTTCCTGAATTGTTGGAATGACAGGTGCACACCACCATATCCAGTGGTCTTGTGATTTTATGTATGTGTGTGCATGCACACATGTGCCTAAATGTATCATGGATTATGGATATATAGTTCAGTGGTAGAGTGCTTGTCTAGCATGTGTGAGGACCTGGGTTCAATCCTGAGCAATGCAAAAATAATTAGTTTAGAAAAAAAAACTGGCAGGATAACTTGTCAGTTTCCAATTAGGGTAGAATCTCAGATCTTTCACGGTTTTGACTTACAATGAAAATAAACTTGCAACCCCTATCCGGGTCCCCTTTTGCACCAACAAGAGTTCAGTTTCTATTCTTCACACTTGAATAAATCCTACTCTTTTCACTCTTGAAAAAAAAAAAGAAAATGAACAAACTCTAATTTCTTGTGCATAAGATGGATGAATCTCATCAACAGTGTTGGGCAAAAGAAACTGC